TTCTTTGATAATAAGTTGGAAGTCAAATTAGGTAAGGAATTGATTATGAATGGTCTACTTATAGATGGTTTCTTTACAGCTGCAATAAAGAATTGTATTTGTTATGTCTCATTTCTGATATTGATAATGAATACATGTGGCACATAAATTATAAATGCATAGAGAGACTAAAGAGAGAGGGACTTCTAAATGATTGTAAAGGGGATTTAACAAAAGTGTGTGAATCATGCATTTAAGTAAAGCTAGCTAATAAATCCTTGACAAAAGCCCAAAGAGGTACTGGTATTTTAGATATTGTTGTGGACCTATGAATGTAGAAACTAAGGGCCGAAGAGGTACTTTAACACTTTTATATATGACCACTCCCGTTTTGGCCATGCTAACCTGTGAAAAAGCAAAAACCCTACACCGTTTCATAGAGTACAAAGCCAAGGTAAATACCCAAACAAACTAGAAACTCAAGGTCCTCATAAGTGATAGGGCTAATGAGTATTCATCGCACTTTTTTAAGGAGTTTTGTATTGAGCATGGTATCATACATCAAAATACTATACCGTACACTCCTTAACATAACAGTGTACCTAAGAGATGGAACAGGGAAATGGTAAAGGAGTATGATAGGACATGCTAAGCTCTCCCTAGATTTCTTGGGGGAGGCAGCCCCACTAACTCCTTAAAAGCAGCCCCACTAACTCCTCATGAGACCTTCACTGGTCATGCTTCGTCCCTTTACCACCTAAAAGTTTGGAGGTGCTCTACCATGTCTTAATACCTCAACAAAATAGGATAAAGCCAGATCCCAAAACCATTAAGTCCATCGCCATAGATACCCACATCATTGTAAGGGATACTGATTCTATAACCCAGATAAAGGGATTGTTTTAGAAAGTTGGGATGCCCATTTCCTCGAGGATGAGTTCCTTGAGAGTTGTACCACTAGAAAGCCGGTAGAGTTTAATGAAATTATGAGTGACACAGAGTGTGTCTGCAGATCTTGAACCACCTCGCCCTAAGAGAAGAAACCGCATTAGAAGGAAAGTTGAATTCTTCACCTTCCTATGAGATTTCCATGAGAAAATTGAAGAGGAATCGTTACATGAACCCATTTCCTAACAAGAAGCCATAACCTGTCCAGAAAAGAACCAGTGGGAAGAAGCCATGATCGATGAATTTAACTCAATTAAACAAAATCATGTTTGGACCTAGTCACCCTACCTCATGATAAAAAACCTATAGGATGTAAGTGGATAAGTGGATATATAAGAAGAAGCTAAATGTGGAAGGGAAAATGGATAAGTATACAGCCAAATTAGTTGCAAAGTAGTTTATTTAGAAGAGATTGACTATGATGAAACCTTCTCCCCAATAGTGAAGTTCCCATCCATTAGGATCCTAATAGCCATAGAAGCGCATTTCGACTTCAAGCTCCACCGGATAGATATAAAGACAACATTTCTAAATGGGGACTTAGAAGAAGAAATATACATGAAACAGCCTCATAAAGAAGGGAAAAGAGAACCTAGTGTGCAAACTTAGGAGATCCCTTTGTGGCCTAAAACATGCTTCTAGGCAGTGGTACGTAAAGTTTCAAGGGCTGGCTTTATGCTTAATCAAGAATATTATTGCATATATGTCAAGGTCAGTGGGAGTGATTTTCGATGTGAAAGACCTTGAAAAGCCTTCATATGTTCTAGGAATCAAAATTATAAGAAATATAACAAAAAGAACCATTCAGCACTCGCAAGAGACATACTGCAAGAAAATATTCGAATGATTTGAAATCGAAAATTGCAAGCCCATACTGACCCCCGTTGATAAGAAGACCAAGTGTAGTTGGATCGCTGATGTATGCCATGTGTCCCACAACAGAAGAAAAAGAAGCCATGCAGAGAATTCTATATAAAAGTGCAGTTGGATCGCTGATGTATGCTATGCTGGGGATGAGACCGGACTTGTCATTCGCTATGAGCGTGACCAACAGATTCCAAAGTATTCCATGTGGCAATAAAGCAATTTCTTCGATATTTGAAGGGAATTATTGGTCTTGCGCTTACCAATGGAGGAGGCTCGGATATTCAGATGCAGGGAATTCAGATGCGGATTCTCAGGGCAATCCAGATGAGATGAAATCTACAACCAAGTATATATATACACTTGCCAGTGGAGTTGTTTCTGGTACTGAAGGAACCAAGACGTCTTTGCACTCTCGTCCATGGAGTGAGAGTATGTCACTTATTGTCTCACAACAAAAGAAGTCGTCTGGTTAAAGAAGTTCCAGAATCAACTCAGATTCGATCCAGTAAAGTGCATGTATGTGAGGATCTTTTGTGACAACCATGCAACAATTTATATGGTTAACAAGCCATGGTTTCACGAGAAATCGTAGCATATAAAGGCCGACTACTACCACATTTGCAACAAGATCCAAGCAGGAGAGATTGAGGTCGTTTATCTCCCAACAAAGCTTATGTTAGCAGATCCTTTGACAAGAGGATTGGTGGGAAATATGTTTGCCAAGCATGTGCATGGGATGGGCTTAAAAGAGAGTTGGAAGGAGTGACTGTACGGCCTTCAAAGGCCAAGTGGGAGATGTTGGGGTTTGTTGCCTTTGAAGCTTATAGTGCATATAAATAAAATTATTTATAATGGATTGTGCACTTCAGTAGGATTGTACTATGCTTCTCTAAGGAGTCTATAGCTCGGATCATGTCCAAAACCCTTGCCTCTGGGGCATGTGATACTACCGTTGAGGGATTATTGAGTATCATCCCTAGTTGAGGTCAAAGAGATGCCTAGGGATGTTGTTCGTAGGCCAGGAGAGTTGTGTAATCTCCTGTGTATGGAGGAAGGGCCCCGTGAGAGTGTGGGCAAAATCCTCAATAAAAATTTTGCACATAACGTACATATGACAGCCGCATTTTTTAGAAGCAACCCAATAGGGAAGGACACATGTACATCTACATAAAGAGAGCGACCCCTTTTGTACTGTGTGTGTGCAATTTGATTTTCTCTTGGGGGAGCCTATAGTCCACATACTGGGACTGTGGTTCCACTGTTTATTAGTTAACTTTGATGGCCAATCATGAGCCCCTACACTTAACTGTGGGTCATGGGTGTCCTGGATAGCAAGGGTGAAGTATCCTGATTTTTTTTTTTTTTTGACCCATTAGGTACCTATCCACTTCTAAGTTGTGTTTCTGTATTTTTTATTTTTATGGAATTCCAAAAATATTGTTTTCGACTAAAAGTACATTACTGTGATTTTTGGGAATTTTTCAAAATTTTAAAAATTTTAAAAATTAATTTTTAACATGCAAAAACCCTAAAAGGGTAGTTTTGGAATTTTAAAATTACATGAGCGTTTTTGGAATTTTGGATTTTCTTGGTGGGACCCACATTTGTGTGTTTTTTGGGGGGGAAGGGGGTGGGTTATAGGGCCCAGCCCCACACGAGTGGGGCCCATATAGGGGCATCACGTGGAGCCCACTAAGGCCCACACATCCCATTAAGTGGGACGCCCACTTTTATGTGGCATTTGTTTTTACATAAAAAAGAGAAAAAGTTTTGTTTTAGTTATAAAATATTTTCTTAGTGGAAATATTTTGGATAATTTTTTTTTTAAGACTATCCTAGTGATTTTCTTAATAACTAAAAGATTTAACCAAGTCAAAAATTTATTTCATTTTATTTTTGAATGTTAATTGTTAGTAGTAGGTTAGCAATTTTTTTAAACCATTGGAGTTTTCTAAAGGGGTTAGCATTGGTAGGAATGGAAACCGAGACCGGTAGCTAAGTCATAGTGGTGCTACCACCTTGACTTCAACCCCATTTCTAATTCATAATTTTATTAGAAATCCTAATTATCTCTTTATGAGAGAATCATCATCATCATAGCCTTTGCCAATTAATTGGGGCCGGCTCTCTTTATGAGATAATAGGATTCCTTCATAGAAAGTACTAGGCTAGAATTTAACTAGTTAAGGTTCTAGATGGATTAGAGTAGATAAGAGTCAAATCTTAAGGATAAAGTTTCTAAATATCCTCTCTAAATCATGATGGCAGATCTCAAAAATGAACGACTCAAATTATTTGTCTCTCACCTCACAAATCATCCAAATGATTATATATCAAGTTAAACATCTAATTTGACTACCCTAGCCCTAGTGGTCTATATATAAGGGTGTTCTCCCCCTCATTCTACAAATCTCTTATCTCTCCTCTCTCTATTTTCTTTCCATGCCTCTCTCCCTCTCATTGTCTCTCTCTCTAAGCTTCCCTCTCTCTCTCTCTCTCTAAAATAAGCATGCCACCGTCCCTATGTGTCTAGGGTGGCACACCTAGCAAAAGAAGGAGAAAAAGAGAGGGGCACACCCAGTCCTAAGCTTGGGGTTTTGTGCCTCTGTTGCTTGCCCTAGTTTTTAAGGGTCTTCTTAGTGAAACCCTCCGTATATTTGTTGCTCTCTTGCCTCATAAAAATGCAGCAAAGGTGTCTCAGAGGAGCTTCCCAATTTAGATTTGAGACTTCAACAGGATGTGAAATTCAAGTGCACCATTGGTCAGGTGATCGGGTGTGGGATGTGGGGTGTGTTAAGCCCTAGAGGGATAACTCTAAGCAAAGCCAATAACTCTTCTCTTACTTATTTAGTTTTATTTGTTGCTTCTATATTCCTGCTTGTTGAAATCTCAGAATTGTATTCAATTGAATAAAAAATTTATTTTGGCAAGAAGTTTCTAAGAGATCCTAAATTGTAGTGGGTTCAATTTATTGTATTTATGGCACCTGTAAGTAGGGTTTCCAAAAATTAATAAAAGGAACAGAAATAAATATTTGAATTTATCGCCTGAAAATTCTACATAGCCACCTTTCAGCAACCAAAAAAATAAAACTAAAAAATAAATAGAAAATTAACGTACAAAAGTAATGAACTAACGATTTAACTTTAAAAGAGTTGACGGACGTCAAAGAAAAAAATTTGCATGCAATACAAAGACAAGTTTACCTTGTACCAGGTGAAAATAGAATCCTTAGGGTCTTGACTTAAAGAAGACCACTCCACATTGTTTTGCCCTTCCAAGTCATATAATTCCAAAAATTCACCCTTCAATCCAACCTACATTGGAAATAGCATATTTTTTTTAATCAACATTGGAAATAATATATTATTGTTGACAATTCTCTTTACAATATACAATTGGTAAAAGAACAGATAAATTAACCTTAGACAAACAAAGTTTAATGTTGAAAGCCATACATGAAGAACATCAAGGGTGAAAGGTCCAAATAATGAGACGGAAATCAAAAATTGCATATCTAGATTAATATATTCTCCACAAGATAATATCGCTGAAACTAGTGGTAAACTTGAGTAACTGTTGTGAACTGGTTTTAGACCAATGGATAAACTTCATACGCTGTTACGTGCTCCACTAGAGATATATCATGTTTATATTTCTAAAGCACATAGCAGTCACTCAACACTTTTGATCGTACGTAAGGCGTGTCACAATGACACTAGAAATACAGATCTTTTTGCATGCCCGTGGCTTATACAATTTCGCTTGGAAATAACTTTTGCAATTCATGCATGTCCACTTTCCCTAAAATTTCCAAAACATCACATGTTTCACTTAGGCATAAGATTCCAAGAAGTAATAGGCCCCCAGTGTTCAACAGTCATGATAGACAGTCATGATAGGAGCGGCTGATTGTTAGAGGACCTCCGTGCAATACCAGAGCACATTACAGGACGATCCCTTCTAAACGTCTCCAAAATATCTGACCTCTAATATGAAAGTGAATACGAGTGACTAATGAACATGCATTATAAATCTCAAAAAACCTTCTACCCTAAACTACCTGTTTCGATTCCATGATTGACAAGAAGAACAACACATTCATAAGGTATTTAGAACAGGCCACATGCTTACACCATGGTGTTGTGTAGAACCTGATGAATTATAATTTTATCTCTTCATTAGAATTTTGCTTCTACAAGTTATACCTAGGATTTAAATTACTTGTATGCGACAGCCTATGGTCATTAAACATATTCCCAAGAAATAACTATATTTCACAATTGTCACTATAATAATTCACTCACTAGACATAAACTTGGTGAATTGTATAACGCATCATACAATTATTTGTGGAGGTATGCATCAATATGGATACAATTGTACCGGGCATGCAACTATTTATTTTTATACATGGCCAACCAACATATAGTATACCAAAATTTCATAATCATATAATATCTTTCCAAACAACCATAGTCATGGCCATCCATCCCTAAATATAATGTCAAGAGAAAAACAAAAGAAAAAAAAGAAAGTTTTTCAAGAAGTTAATTGTACAAGTTCCATGCGAAAAAGCGTACCTGATACGTCCAAACTAAATCCGAGAGATCCTTCTCACCACTTTTAAAGCCCAATAACTTAATTTGGCCTCTAAATCCTGCTCCATCTTTCTCAAGAAAAGCACCATAGTTCTACAAATCAAGTGAATTATTTAGAAGACTAAATAGAGTAACACTGTAAACTATGACTTTGTTAAGACTTAATTAATCATGCAAGAGGGACAAAAAATCAAATGTATGATTTCTTTCAAACTTATAAATCACAGAAGGAGAAGCACTAGTGTTTCAATAAGAATAATAAAAAATTATACCAAAAATACAAGCATGAATAAGTATTTCCTAGGACTCAGGCTTGGGCCTGATAAGTTTAGTGTTGAAAATTGCAATACTACAACTCCAAATTTGAATCCTAATGCTGAACTACCAAAAATAAGAATGTATATTCCAAGATAGAAGAAATCCCCGCATCCAAAAAGAGCAAAAACTACATAATGCACCAAACAAGAAGTGCTTTAATCTTTATTTGTACATTAGTGCCCAGTTGAATGTAGGAAGATATCAGCAGATTAGCTTCCTGATCTAAACATTAAATTTTAAAATATCCATCTTTCCAAGAGATTTGGCCCTTCAAGTACATAGCCATACACCATACATCAGAGTCATAATGTCCCCTACCCAAAAATCAGATTGCCATATGCAATCAGAACAGAGGTCAATGCCCTACAGATTTTGACCTTTGTACTAGTCAAAACGAACATTAATGAATGCAGCATGGAAGAAAGCACTGGGTGGCACCTAGGAGGCCAGAAGGGGAGGCTGCCACAAATAGTAAATACATATATGTATGCTTTAAGTATATATACATATTACAGATTTATAGAAGTGTATTTCTTTACTGTATATGTGTGCATGTGCATATACTTTTTATATAAACTTAAAGAGTATAGATGTCGAAAACATGAAACCTCCAATGATCTTCCAAGCAAAATCAAATCCAAAAAAACTCCAATTGGATTTGATTTCTTCAAATACAAAATCTTACAAAAAATAAATTCAATTGTGTTTTGTTTTTGGACAAGATTTAGGGTTTATAGGACTAATGAAAAGGTATAACCCTGGCAAAGGTGCCCTGTGGGGTCGCAGTGTGCGGGTGGGGGTGGGGGGAAGACTAGAATACACCTAACCCAAGGGCATTTTCCACCCTCATGACGGGTTTGCATATGTGAGCGCCTCAGCTGGAGGCGCTGAGCACCCCCCTAAGAAGCACCACCTTGCCAGTGGAGAAGCACCTAGGCCCCACCAGAACTACCGCCTAGGCAGTTAAGGCCCCAAGATGGGCTCTTTTTTATTATATGAATATTCAAGTATGTCATACTGCTGGCAATAATTAATTATTGTGATCTTTGAGTATACAAATGTCCTTTCTTGTTGTTTAGGACTTATGTTCTATTTCATACTTCATGGGAAATATTGTGATTAGATACACTTAATCAATATAAAAGGAGGTGCATAAGGATCATTCAAATCCATCACGCCACTCTCTCTCTCTTCCCCTCTCTCTTTCTCTCTCTTCCTCTCTCTCTTTCTCTCTCTTCCTCACGCCACTTCCTCTCTCTTCTTCTCTTTCTTCTTCTTCCTTTCTCTCTTACTACACTAATAACTTCTATTTTACTTTTTCTCTTTTTTCTATCCTTTGATTGATTTTCCCTCGATTATTTTCAACTTGCTATCAAAGCAGGCTAAAACATCGAAGATGGAGATATGATTTAGGGCTGACATCATCTATTTGGTCAGATGACATCAAAATCCCCTAAAACCCTTTTTTCCAGCAAAGATTGTGTTGAACAAGGTGAATTCTTTTAGTAATTTCTTAATGTAGATCATGTGTTTGGTGGAAAAACTAGACACAGGTGGATTAGGATTTTTGTGTCCTAGTTAAGAAAACATTAGTAGTGTTGTTTTTAAGGTTCTTTTGAATCGAAAAAAGGTAGCATCAGACCTGAGGGTGTAACCAGACCTGTAAATCTCTTTTTGAAGAGATCTGAGATGTCCTTTAGAATGGGAAAGAGGTGATATTAGATCCAAGGGTGCAACCAAATCTTAAATCCTTTTTTTGAAGAGATCTGAGGGTGTAACCTGATCTCAACTGTTGATTTGATATGTGCAACCAGATCTCAACCACAGTAGAAGCTGTTCGAGCAAACATCAAATATAGAGCAATCTAGACTCCAAATTACCACAGTTAAATTTGATGGCACAAATTATTTAGAGAGGGCCAATCAATTACATTATTTCTTCGTGGAACAAAAAAATGGACATATATTAAAGGTCGATTAGAAAAACCAGATCTCAAGGATCCTAAATATGAAAATTGGGAGCAAATGATATGGGACTTATGAATTGGTTATTGTATTCTATGAAGCCTAATTTGAGTCGAACTTTTATGAGCTGCAATACCTCCGAGGAAATGTGGGATGCAATTTCCGAGGCTTATTCCCTGATGTAGAAGAACTTGACGAAACATAGAAAATCTGCAAGAAGCACCTTAACACAAGCAATTTTGGAGAAACCCTAAGGCGTTCTCCTACCTAGAGCTCAAGCGTAGGCCTCTTTTACAAGACAATCTTTTCTTTTCTTAAAAAAGAATACATGAATGCCTCTCCAACCCATCTATGACGTTATTTATAATAAAAAATATTTGCCCATACATTTAACTTTTGACCAAAAAGTTCCTAACTTAAACTTAAATTTCACAATGATAGTTTTTCCCCTATGAACAATACCTATAAATAGTACTCGTGATATAGTACTTGTGAATAGTACTCATGAAATAAATAAAAAACTATAAAAACCGTAGAATTCCTAAAAACTAAAAACCCCATAAATAAACCCTAAAACCATAATTATAATATACATCCTTTAAATTTGAATGAAAATAAAAAATAAGAACAATGTTTCCATCCATCATTTGATGCAGAGAAATTTGAGGGAACAGTAAAATCAGCAAGCGACAAAGCTAAACATAAGCATAAGTCGAAGAAATTGACCCTCTCAAGGCCTAAGATTTTCTCTCTTTCAATCTAAAAAAGCCTAAGATTTTCTCTCTTTCAATCTAAAAATCATGTGCAATTGACCCTCTCAAGGCCCCACACACCTCTTATATATTATAATTCAATGTTCAAAGGCATTAGATGTCCATACAGTGATTAAAATGACCTACATATCCTAAATAAAACTTAAATTTTATAATGGCAATTTGTTCTTGTGAACAGTACTCATGAATAGGACTTGTGAATGGTACTCATGAAATAAAAAAAAAAAACTATAAAAAACCTACAATTTCGAAACACTAAAAATAAACTTGTAACATACATCCTTTGAAATTAAATAAAAAATAAAATATAAAGATAAATTTTCCTTCATCATTCTCCCCTGGTCGGAAAAAACTCGTCCTCAAGTTTTGAAGTATGCTAAGATAAATTCAACATCAAAAACACATTCTTGAACCTTCTTTTTCGTTGTTAGTGCAAATATTATTCGAGGGTAAAGAAAATTCCTCCAGAAACAGATCTTGATATGTATCTTGAGGAATCAGGGCCACAATTGTAGATTCTGAGTTGATCATACTTTCACTGCACTGCTCTAATTCCAATGCCCTAAATCTCTTGAATGCCCCACCTCTTGAATATTAATGAGATCTTCAAAGGCCATGATTTGGATCAGTCCTCATGTTGCCATCTCTTTATATTCTTCATATTCTTCACCTTCTTCCAAATATCTTCACCATCATCTTAATCCTTATCATAGATCAGATCTCCTAAGAAATCTTATTGCTCATCTGAGTATATGTCAAAAATTGGTGGTGAATTTCAATCTACAACTTGCTGATTTTCAATGCAATTTATGTCAAAATCAAGAATCTCAGCCTTTAAATTAAAACTCTGGAGTGATTTTCTCCATATCTAGGTCTTTTATCACTATCCTCATCACTCAACTCTCTATGCGAAGCGCAAAAGTAAAAACGTATGTACTCAAGATCCTCTTGGGCTGAAAGATCACCCATCTTGCCCATTTTTGAGACTCGCGAACTGCTGCACCAGCTACTATACTTGCCTTTCAAGTTCCTCAATTCTGTCATCTATGCGATCATAGAGCGGATATGAAAATCCCCCTTCTACGACCCCTTATCGCTACCATGGGTTCGCTGAAATCACAAACCCTAAGCAAATAATCAATTAAAAACTGTTGAAATCACCAAGATCCAAGTTGCTTTGGCAAAATTTTGGCCAAAATCAGCAAACCCTATACCCCATTGTAACTTCCCCCTCTTTGTTTGTTGATCTAGGGCACCAAAAAAAGTGGTGCTACAGCAACTCCGTACATGCTATAATGCTTTCGTACGTGCTGCAATAACTATGTATGTGCTACAGTAACTTCCTTGTAGATCGTGAGCTCTGATACCACTTGATGCAAGGAAATTTGAGGGAACAGTAAAATCAGCAAGCGACAAAGCTAAATACAAGCATAAGTCAAAAAAACCATAGGTTTCTTCTCCACACCCAAGCTAGGGCTGCAAAAGCCTAAGCTTTTCTCTCTTTCAATCTAAAAATCATGAAGAATAGACCCTCTCAAAGCTCCACACACATCTTACATATTATAATTCAATCTTCAAAGACATTACATGTCCATACAATGATTAAAATGACTTATATATCCTACTTTAAACTTGAATTTGTAATGACAGTTTTGCCCCTGTGAACAGTACTCGAGAATAGTACAAGTGAATAATACTCATGAAATAAATAAAAAACTATAAAAATCCTAAAATTTTTAAAAACTAGAAACCTAGAAATAAACCCTAAAACTAAAATTTTAATATACATCCTTTGTAATTGAATCAAAATAAAAAATAAGGATAACTTTTCCTTCATCGTTCCCAAAAGAAAAATATTGCAAAGGTTTATGAACTGAAGCAAAAAATCAATAGTTTCAAACAAGGGGACTTATTAGTGGGAGATTATTATGTTCGTCTTCGTAGTTTTTGGGATGAAATAAGTCACTATCAACACATACAATGCTCATTTTGTGCAAAGGAACAAAGAGAGAGATTAGAACAAAGGAAGATTTTTTATTTCCTGCAGGGAGTTAAAGGGGATATGAATCAATTAGGGAAAATGTTCTAGGTGGTGAGATTTCACCATCACTTGAACTATTTTTCTCTTTTTCAATGTGAAGAACCTCACCGCAAGATAATAGTAGTGCCTACAAGCGAAAAAGAAAGATCTTTTCTACTCTTAATTTCAAGTGATAATTGAGGTGGAGGACGTTTTGGTCGGGGTGGAGGTCGTGGTGGTGGACGTGGTCATGGAAGCCCCACAATTGCAGAGATGGACAAGTTAAAGGGCACCAAGTGTGGGAAGAATAGACGCACAAGGGATACAAGTTGGGATCTAATTGGACGCCCTAGAAGTAATTTTTCTCAAACAAATTCAGCAACAATTAGTAAAAGTGTTACTTCTGCTATGCACGGGCAGCAAGATTCTACTGCCTTTGAACCTAAAGAAGAGTTGGTGACTAGTCCTAAAAGAGAGGTTCCTGATCTCAAGCAGCAAGCTTCCATTTGAGACCTTCCTTCTCTAAATCCCATGTTGTCCAAACAGATATACCTGCATCAAGTCAACATGTCTCTATATATTCCTCTAAAACCCCTTGGATCATCGACTCTGAAGCTACTGATCATATGACTCACATGGCTAGTCTTTTTTTATTCTTATATTCCTTGTTATAGTCAAGAATCTATTAAAATGGTGGTGGTGAACTGTTGGTGGAGGGGGAACACTAGTGGGGTTCACAAAGTGGTAGTGGTGGCAGAATGATGGCGGTGGTGGTGGGTGGTGGTGGTCGAGCAGTGGTGGGGATGTGCCAGTCAAAATGGTGGTGCCAATGGTGGTGGTGGTGAGAGAGAGAGAGAAAAAGCCAATTTGAACTTTTTTACAAACCAATTTGGAGTGGTTTTGCTAAAAATTCAACTTGGGAGTCCAGTTGCAATTGGAATCAATTCAAATTTGAAAATCAAACATCCGTTGAGTTTGAATTGCAGGTGACAAATTTTCGAATAGGCCCAAATCACAATTTTACCTGGAAATCAAACAAGGTCTAGATTTTCAAAACATTGTTAATTAATTGAAACATGCTCAGTTGTAAGTTTGGGGCATTTAGAACTTAAGACAATTTTGATATTGGAGCAATTTGTATAAGATAGTTTCAAACGGATGCAGAATTATCCCATATTAGATGATTATTGAACTATGATGAACTAGCATGTAGCAATTGGAGATTACTAATAAAATAGTTCTACATGCCTAGAAATCCTTAATGCACTGCATGTTATCTTCTTTGACTACGAAAACTGAGGGGAATTATTTCATCTTCTATTACTTTTCATACATGTGAATATTTCCTACATTACATTTAAAAAAAAAAAGGCTTTCTTTTAAATTTCTTGAATGAAAAATCACAAGAAGAAGAGAAATGTATAGAAGTCCATATTATCATGTAATATGTATACAACAGAACCAAGGAGCAGTTATTTCTGGAGGTCCGTATGGACTGAGTTGTGTGATATACCTTAAATGCCCAAAAGGCCATTTACAAGCTTCTTAGCCACCAATGATTCATCATTTCTATGTCTCTGGTCACTTGAACATGTCCAAGTTGCAGATCGTTACACATCCTAGCCATTTTTTTCATATTCTAGACTTGTCTTTAGAAATCCAAACCCAAAATTGAGGCTCTTTACAGTGAGTCTCATACACAGGCCACAAGCAACAAAACTAGCATACACAAATCATTTGCAAAAGATATAATATGTTGTAGGTAGCTCTCTGTTTTTTATTCACCGTAATATCTTTCCATATAACGTAATTGTCTAGTCAGAAACCCTACAAACATAATAGAAGCCAACTCAAAATGCTTAACCCGATTTGTTTACATGAAGAATACGAACATGAGAAGGCATATGGTTGAGTGCAGTCATTGATCAGACCAGACTAATCCAAAATCGCCCAATCCAGACAACCATGCATGTGGAAGAACCATTAGTTCAGGCTTGCAATAAAATGTCATTAGAATCTGTAATGTCCAAATTATAAAAATGCAGATTACCTGCAAGCCCACAGTCACCGACAATAGTGCAATCTCATTGTATCCTCGCACCAAATTAACAGGTTGCTTTACAGCAATCCATTTACCACTTGCACTGCCTTCATGTTCATTTGCGTAAAGATTGTTAGAACCATGAAGGATAATACAAACCAAGAATTTCCATCAAGGAACTAATATAAAGGAGGAATCCATCATGTGACTCACAAAATAGTGACATGAAGTATTCAAAAGGTTTCCCTCTTTTCTTTTCTGTGGTATCTTATAGCATGTTATAGTCCCCTTTTACCTCTTGCTGTTACAAGATCCAAAAGTGGAACTTTTCTAAGAAAATAACAAAATGAAGCAAAGCAAATAATAAAAGGAAACAACTCATACCTGTAAGATTCCCATTTACAAAAATCCGAACTACATCACGTGCACTATCAATTGCAAGTGCAGGATTGATCTCATTGTCCTCCCAAAATAAAGCATCTTCATCAGAAACTTGTATTCTTAAAATAAATTCCATTAAAAGAGAACCATCAGACATGAAGCAAACTTTACAGTTGTAACAACTATAAGTATTATTATAGAACTTTAATTTTTCATAGAAATAGAGGAAGAACAGAACATCCACATTAAGTTGGAAGCATAGATTTCTCATGGATACAGAAATACATTAAACGAAAATAACCAATTATTACAATCTTGATAATTCTCAAATTTTCGACTAGGATTGCGAGGAATATATAGAAAAACACATTTCTGCATATTCCTATTGGTTATATAAACAGAAAAACCATTTACAAGTTAAAAAGGTCTATCACTCAATCAGAAGTTCATAAATATTTCATTAAAAATAACTAAATCCTTTCCCAGAGATTGGACAAAAAGACATTCCTCAGATAGGAACTTGAAGAGAAAATGGTACAACTGAAATGCATCAATGACATGCAGAAAGATCCAATGTATTTAAAATGAGAATCAATAATACCAAGTGATTAATTTATGAAGTCCAATGGTGAATATATCAAAAAGAGAGAAGGCTTTGTATCCATTAAGTATAGGACTTGCTTTTCACTTTTCACATCGCAATGGCAGTTCTTCCATGTTTATAGTGTGTTGTATTCCCATGTACATAAAGAACCCATATGGGGTTCTAAACACTGTTAGAAGAACCCCAGAACACTGGTTGCTTCTTGCAAAAAATCTCGCGAAATTTTACAAGAGAACAAAGCAGGAATCATGTGGATCCACAAGAATCTTACCCAATCTGAAAAGGTCATGGTTCTTTGATTCAATAATAAGCATCACGTAAAGAGAGAAAATAAAGATATTGGAATGTTGGTGAATTAGAAAACTAGTTGTCCACTTCCGATGCGGTTTATATACAGGGTTTATACTTCCCGAAATCATGCAATCGTACTTACTCATAAATTAGTTAAATTAGAAAAGAAAATGCTCAAGGAACCTACAATACTTTGCTGATGTTTCCTTTTATAGTCAGAAACAAATAAAGAGTAAAATTCCAGACCCAAAATAAAAACCAGATTTATATGTCATGGTTTGGGATTTTGTGTTGATCATTCATGTTTCTTCACAGGATGGTGAACGGTATAAACACAAGAATACCTGGTAATATACCAAAGATAATCAGATGTATCCTTTGTTACATTTAAATGCTCCAAGATGCCTTTTGCTGTAAAGCTATTCTGGCCCCAAGCACCAATCGGCTCTTTGAATGACATCCATGTCTTCGAGATAAACGATGCTTCATTATCAAGTGACAAGTACCCTGAACTGGATGTTTTTGAAAGTGAGGAAGAATCCATCTCGACTGCTTTAAGTGAAATCTGGGCCCCAACCTGATAAGAATCCTCAACAATCAGAAAATACATAAGAAAACAAAAAACAAAAATGAATATTGCATACCAAAATCAAATTGTTGCATTACAAAGAAGTTATTTTACCTAGCTTAGTCAGAAAAAGAAGCTATTACCTACAATACCGCAGAAACTTGTAGCAAATCAATAGCATCCATTATTATACCATATACAAGCCTGACAAACTGAAGATGTGCATCCATGATAACTAACTTTCAAATACATATGGATCAAATATAACTCGCTTTAGATGGCTCAAATCTGGTGATAGGAAGATTGCCTTTTTCCAAAAAAGTGGTACGTTGCAGACAGCGTGGAAAGCTCATCCATGATATTTCTATACATTACTTCCCCAATCAGGGTTGCTTCGTGATGTAGGGGAATTTGAAGAAACATAGAAAATCAGCAAGAAGCACCTTAACACAAGCAATTTTGGAGAAACTCCAAGGCTTTCTCCCACCTAGGGCTCAAGTCTTAGCCTACTTTTACAATACAGTCTTTTTTTTCTTAAAAACGAATACATGAATGACTCTCCAGCTCATCTATGCCCTTATTTATATTAAAAATTTATTGTTTTGGACAATATTTGTCCATATAATTAACTTTTGACAAAAATGACCTAACTTAAGTATAACTTAAAACTAAACTCCCTAACTTTAATTAAAATATCTAAAAAGTCCCTAACAAGTCCAACAATGAAATAAATAAATAATTAAATAATCTGAAATAGACTAAAAAACCTAAAAAAAAAAAACTCAAACTATTTCTTGCTCTTCTTGTTCTTCTTGGAAGCCCTCCTAGGGTTTGATATGAGTGAAAATTAGGAGGAATATGTCGCTCCCAAAGAAGATACCCGTCGCTACTTGTTGTGCTTTGATCTCCATCATTCTCCCCAAGTTGAAGAGAACTCGCCCTTAAGTTCACATCTTCATCTTCATGCACCTCCATAGCATGATACTCTGACACATCAGCAATGTTGAAGAGGTCTAAAGTCTCCATGTGTGAAGGCAAGCGACTTTGTAAGCATTGTTGCTCATCTTCTTCAAAATCTTGAATGGTGTAGCCTTGGATCCTTCAGCTTGTTGTACTTTTCCATTGGATGCCGCTCCTTCTTGAAATACACCAATACCAAATCTCCCGCATTAACCTCCTTGAAACGGCGATGCTTGCCTGCTGCTTCCTTGTATTTAGTTGTGTTGCCTTCTAGACTAGCACGTACTTGTTCATGCACTCCTTTCATTTGTTCAACCAAGTCCTCACCCATAGCTTGACCCTCCCCATTGGCCTGGACAAGAACCAAGTCAAGCGAATGAGTAGGGTTTTTCCCATATACCACCTCGAACTGACTACCACTAAATTTATTTGCAAACACTATTTTAGGCAAACTCGGCTTGAGGCAATACTAGGTCCCACTGTTTCTTCTTTTCCTTCACAATACTTCTCAAAAGATTGCCAAGAGTATGGTTTACCACTTCAGTCTGGCCATCTATCTGCAGATGATAAGCACTACTAAACTGCAACTGACTGCCCAATTTCTTCCACAAAGTTCTCCAAAAATGGCTGAGACCTAATCTAAAGTTATCGTCTTTGGAACACCATGCAACCTCACCGCCGTTTTGAAGTACAAGTTAGCAACATGTGTGGCATCCAGAGTCTTCTTGCAAGGTATAAAATGAGCCGTCTTTGAGATTCTATCCACCACCACGAATATAGAATCTATACTTCTTTGAGTCCTTGGAAGGCCCAAAACAAAATCCATGCTAACATCCTCCCAAGGTGCATTAGGAATAGGAAGTGGAGAATAAAGCCCGGTATTTTGTCGCTGCCCCTTAGTCAGTTGACACGTATAACACCTCTCAACAAACCGCACAACATTTTTCTTCAAATTTGGCTAGTAGTACTTAGACTCCACCAAGAACATGTAGGAATACAAAGATGGTTTTCTTTGAAGAGAAATCCATCTTGAATAACAAAATCCCCAACAACTCCACTGCAACACTGGTCCCATATCTCCCTAAAGTCTTCATCATTTGCATAAAGATCCTTCATGAACTCGAACCCAGTAAGAACAGTCATCATGGTAGTTAATAGAGTCGACCTTCTACTCAAAGCATCTACCACTCTATTCTAACTGCCTGCCTTAAGTCGAATAACAAAAGTGAACTCCTGAATATAGGCTACCCATCGAGCATGTCGCTGATTTAGTTTATGGTGCACATTAATATACTTCAATGTTTTATGATCTGAGAACAAAAGAAATTCTCTCTGAATCAGGTAATGCCTCCAATGCCTTAAGGCTTGAATAATAGCATAAAACTCCACATCATACGTAAAATAGCGTCGACAGGTGTCATTCAACTTCTCACTAAAGAAGGGAATAGGGCGACCTTCTTGGCTCAACATTGCACCAATTCCAACATGTAAAGCATCACAATCCAACTCGCAGCCGTTATCAAAGTCTCGAAGAGCTAACACATGTGCCTCAGTCATCTTCTGCTTCTCCAACTGAAGACTTGTCTCGCCTTCATTAGTCCATACTAATCCCCCTCTATCAAACAATATGTGATAGGCGCTATGATCGAACTAAAGCCTCTGATAAACCTCCTATAGAAAGTAGCCAACCCATGAAAACTGCGAACATCATGCATTGTAGTAGGAGTAGGTCAATCTCTAATAACTGCTACCTTCCTTTGGTAAACCTTAATTCCCTCAGCTGAAACAATATTGCCAAGAAAGATGAGGCTATCTGTCATGAATTCACACTTTTTACGATTCTAATACAATTGTTGTTCCAGTAGCAAGTCAAACACCAACCGTAAGTGCTCCATATGCACTTGCTCACCAATGTTGTACACTAGAATACCATCAAAGTATACCACCACGAATTTCACACTAAAAGGCTTGAACACTTGATTCATCACCCTCATAAAAGTATTAGGCGCATTGGAGAGGCCAAATGGTATCACCAACCACTCATAAAGGCCCTCTCGTGTTTTGAATACAATCTTCAACTCTTCTCCAAGTCAAATACAGATCTGATGGTACCCACTCCTCAAATCTATCTTTGAAAACACAATAACACCAGCCAACATATATTACATATCATCTAAGCGCAGAATTGGGAAGCGGCACTTGATTGTGATCTTGTTAATGGCCCTACCATCCACACACATGCACCAAGTCCCATCCTTTTTAGTCATCAACATGGCCAGAATAACACAAGGGCTCATGCTCTTCTGTAGAAGCTCTGTGACCTGTCTCTGCAACTCATCATGCTCCTTTGGGCTCATTCTATATGCAGCCTTGTTCGGTAGGCTAGACCCAGGAACGAGATCTATGTGATGTTGGATGTCCCTCATGGGTGGCAAGCCTTCTGGTAGCTCATCTAGAGGGACATCACTATAGTCCCACATTAAGGGCTCTAACTGTGGTGGAACCAAACTAATAGGCTGCTCCTCCACTTGGACCACTGCAAACACCATCCTTGACTCATCCAATCCCTCCATAAACTTAGGCAAAGAAAGAAGGCTAGCACACCCTTCATCTGATTTGGATGCACTTTCCTTCTTACATGGACCTAAAACCACTTTTATTCCATCTTTGACAAAGCAATGAGTGTTTTTAAATCCATCATGTATGGTACGTCTATCATACTGACATGGTCTACCCAACAATAAATGACATGCACCCATAGGCATAACATCGCCCCACACCTCATATTTATAATGCTTTCCAATAGAAAAAGAAACTAGACAACGCATAGAAACTGTTACCTCATTTCCCTTTTTGAACCAAGCTATCTTGTATGGTTTTAGATGGCTCTCTGTCTTCAACTTCAGCTTGTCTGCCATCTCCTGAGAAACAATATTTTCACAGCTTCCCCCATAAATAATAAGATTGTAAACCTTCCCGTAGGCCATGCATCGATTGTGGAAAATATTAGTGCGTACCCAATCTGCCTCATCTACTACCTTGGGTTTCACCATGGTGCGCCGGATCACCAAACCCTCCTCATGGTCAATAAAGGTTACTTCAGGCTCTTCATCATAAATAGGGTCCCCATCAAAAGATAGTTTTCTGTCCTCCTCGAAAACCTCCTCAGCAAGGGCCACAGATTTTCTATTTGGGCACGGAGAGGAGACATGGCTAATCCCCAAACACTTAAAGCATTTATAGTGCTGCTGTTTGGGCGATTTGGGTGACAAAGAACCAGCCCCAACACCCACAGTTTCCTGCTGTTTTGACTGATCAGCAGGCCGTGAGGACCTTCCACCCACAAAATTTCCACCTTTTCCCCTAATTTGCTTCCACGACCGCTTGAGCTACCCTGGCTTGCAGCCCACCTTGATGATGGACGCCTCAGCTGAGCTTCAACCTTAACTGCAAGGTTGTAAGCCTCATCTAAAGTCTAATACCACTCTAAAATCACCACATCTTGTATAGACGATCTTAGCCCACCAACATAGCGAGCTAACGACTGTTCTTCCCTTTCAACCACATCATTGTGAGCCATCAACTCAAGAAATCATCAGTATACTCCTCTACACTCTTTTCACCTTGATGAAGATTATTCATCTTGTGATAGAGAGATTGTAAATAATTTTCGGACAAGTATTTTTCTTTTCATTTCTTTTACATCTTCTCTCATGTATCAATTTTGGGCTTTCCCATCCTCTCTAATCTAGCCCTAAGTTGTTTCCACCATGCCAAGGCACCCTTTTTCAATTTATGGAAATAACATTTATCTTTTAATTTTCAGGTACCTCCTTATAATCAAAAACCCTTTCTATTGTATGTAACCAATCTATAAACTCCTTTGGTTGAGGCTTACCATCAAAATCAGGTATATCCACCTTCTAATCGACATCCCTAAAATGACCCACCCCACGTCTAGGTCTCTAGTCGCTATCCTCATTACTCGACTCCACACACAAAGCACAATGGTGAAAAGGGTTGTATTCGAGATCCTCTTGAGCTGAAAG